AGCACTGGAAATAAGACAGGAGTTTAGGGGAGGAGAGGGTTATGTGGATTCTTGTTATACTGTAAAATCTCATTAATTGGGGCCTTACTAATTTTGAACTTGTAAATAATCTGGAAGAAGACAAGGCTGAAGTTTAGATTTTTATATTAAATTTCTTTGTTTATCAGTGATTTTCAACCCTTTCATGGCACACATAAACTAATTACTAAAATTCTGGGGCACACCAAAGAAATGTATTTTTTTGCTGATTCAACGAAAAGTTGGTATAATTTTGATTCATACACCCCAGATGCCTATTGTTGTGTTACCTGCTGTCATTTTTTTTATTTGACAATCTAAGGGAAAAGAGGTCAGTGCCCCTGACTAAATAGTCAGGTATCACACGTTTTAAAAATTCTTGTGGCATATCAGTTGAAAATCACTGTTGTATAGAAATGAATAGTGTATCTGTCGATGTAGAGGAGAATGTTTTAAAACGGATGTATAAAAAAACATTTCCTATATGAAAATACGCTACTTTGATGCAGAAGCATCCTTTTACACAAACAATTCATGTATTAATTAAAGATGATCCTTGTCTAGTTGGAGAAGCCTGATAAAATGCTTCCTCACCAAGGAAGCTGGAACTTGTCCTCATTGCATGAGGGTAAAAACAAACCAACCTGCGTATCTATTTGTTATTTCTATAATAATTTATCCCAATTGGTTCCTACTAGTGAGGTTTAATAGCTTTTCTGTGCTGAACGATAAAATCAGAGCATAAAGATCTATAGAAACTAAGGGTAGAAAGTACAAAACAAGGCTTAGAATTTTATGCTGTTATCTTTTTCTATTGCCTACGGTTTCTTAAAGTGAGCCTTGCAGTGGGTTACTCCAGCATCAGGTAACTCCATAGGCCCACTTGTAAAGAAGAGCAACTGATAAATGAAAAGGCTCACTGTCTTCATTTAGTGAAAAATGAACAAGAAGAAATAGGTGAAATTGTCAGAGACACATAGGAACTTTGCTTTGGATTAGGGTATGCCGTCTGACCAGGCAACTGGCATTCGGGGGATATATCACATCTGTTCTTTGGTTGAGTGTGCAGTGGGCTCATTTCCCTTCCCTGGGCCAGTGATCTTAATCCCCGTTGTCAAAATCCCCGACATTTTTGGATCTCTTGAACTTGTCAGTGTTTAGGGGTTCAGACAGCCCTGAGTGGGACTGTCCTGCCCAGCACATTTCTTCCTCTGTAGATGGTTATATTTCCACCGCAGGAGAGTAAGCCAGGAGCAGAAAGGCACCAGGGGGTGTCCGTGGGCTCTGGTTCTGTCTCACGGAGCTCACACAGAGCTGCCTCTCTTCTGGGATCCCTCTGTGCCATGTCCCCTGTGGTGACACACAGCTGAGACCTGGATGTGGGCTGGCTTTCCCGGAAACTCCTTCTGGGGTACTCAGGCTTAATGACAGCGGCACCGCGGGTTGACCTGGGGCTTTGGGTGTGTGTGGAAGCTGGTTCCCCCCGTCCCCTGCCTCTCCCCCCTGGCTGGGTTGCCCTTTGCCTCCTGAGGCTACTGTTTCCCCAGGCACATGGTTATCTTCCATTCAGTGTGAGCCCCGTGCCTCTCCCTACAACCCCCTAACAGGAACTCAACTAGACCCCAGAAAGGACTTTTCAACAGAGAAGCAGGATGTAAGCGGAGAACGAATTGCTGAAGAAGAGAATACATTTTCTTCCCAGGAAATTGGTGTCTCCCACCCAGTGCTTGTTGAGGGCTGACGATGGCCACTTTGAAGGGTTGGGGGAGAGGCATGGAGAAGGGTATCACATTCAACTTCGCTTTCCATGTGGGCATTTTTTTTGTGGTTTCCTTTCTCTGTTCAAAGAATGAAGACTCTCAGTTGCTGTGCCACATAGAGGAAAGGCAAAGAGAATTATTTAAGGCATTGTGGTTCCTCTTGGTATTAATGTCTCTGTTCAGTAGATATTTGCTGAGTGTTTGCTGTGTACCAGACACTGGGCTGGTCCTGGAAGTGGACCCTCTCCTGTTCCATTGGGCCGGGCTCTAGGGCCTGAACAAGACATGACTTTCTGGCCCATGGTGTGGCTGGGAGGCTGAGGGTGGGGCCCAGGGACTCCGCCACCTGCCCTCTTTCACCCTGATTCCTTCTGTCTTGTCCCACAGGTTCTTTTCGGAATGATGGTTTGAAAGCTTCTGATGTCCTTCCCATCCTAAAGGAAAAAGTGGCCTTCGTTTCCGGTGAGTGTCTGTGGAACTTTTCTCTGCGATGGGCCCAGAGAAGCTGTGTGTGTGTGTGTGTGTGTGTGTGTGTGCGCGCGCACATGTGTGGCACTCGCTTCTTTGTGGGTTAGTGGGAGAGAAGTGCAGATGGAATGGATGCTGGGAGCAGCTGCTTCCTCTCTACAGAGGGAGGCAGAAAGAGAAGGGGTAGCCCTGGTCCCAGCTGGGTGTTCTGGAGGATGCTTACAACGCAGGTGGGTGCCCCCAACCTCACACCCCACCCCACACACATTCACCTCACCCTGTCCATGCTCCCAGGCCCATCGGGCCCACAGGAGCCACTGAAGCCCCTCAGAGAGAGGCTCCAGCTGGAGGGGTCTGTCCACGTCATAATTCCCAGAGGTTTTATTTGGTACATATCTGAATGGGTCGTGGACAGGATATAAAAATTTTCTGTCTCCTTTTTTTTAAAAAGTGTTTTATTTATTTTTAGAGAGAGTGGAAGGGGGGGAGAGAGAGAGAGAGAGAGAGAGAGAGAGAGAGACATCGATATCGATGAGAGAGACACATCAATCAGCTACCTCCTGCGCGTCCCCTACTGGGGATTGAGCCTGCAACCCTGGACATGTGCCCTGACTGGGAATTGAACCTGGGACCTCTTGGTTCATGGGATGATGCTCAATCCACTGAGCTCTATATCCTTTTTATCTATCTCCTTCTTATCTCTCCTTCCTGGCAAAGGGAACTCAAATGAGTGTTTGCATCTATTTATTTATTTTTCTGAATAGTGACTTCCAAATATTTAATTCTGGCATCTCTCCAACCCATCTTGTGCACCTGGGCCTTTTAAAGTCTAATTCAGGGGTCAGCAAACTATAGCCTGTAGGCCAACCACCTGTGTTTTTTTTTGTAAATAAACTTTTATTGGAATGCAGCCATGTGAATGTGTTTAGGCAGTGCATTAATTTCCTTTTGCTACTATAACAAGTTGCCAGAAACTGGATGGCTTACAATAACAGAAATTTATTTATTTTTTCACAGTTATGGAGGCCAGAAGTCCAAAAGCCGTTTACTGGGCTGAAATCAGGGTTTCGGCAGGGCTATGTTACCTCCAGAGCTCGAGGGGAGAGTTTGTTTCTTGCCTCTTCAGCTCTGGTGGCTGTCAGCATTCTTTGGCTTGTGGCTGCATCATTCCCATCTCTGTCTCCATGTTCACAGTGCCTTCTGCAATTCTGTCCATGTCAGACCTCCCTCTGCCTCCCAGTGAGGAAACCTGTGATTGCATTTAGGGCCCACTCTGATAACCCAGGATAATCTTCCCATCACAGGTTTCTTAACTTAATCACATCTGCAAAGATTCTTTTTCCAAATAAGGTAACATTCACAGTTCCCAGGGATTAGGGCCTGGTATGTGTGGGGACAAGTCTAGTGAGAAATAGTTCCAGCAGAGATAGAGGGCCATAAGCCTAACATATTTACTGTCTGGCCCTTTAAGAAGTGTGGCGATTCTTGATGTAATTGAAGCCAAACTCTAAGGTGCACCAGCACCACTCTGGGTGCCAGTTCTAGGACTTCATGCCTGCCTCCTGGATCAGCATCTCTGGCACGGTTGGGGGACGGCAAAGTGAAGAGCCCAGGATCACATTTAAAGAAACCTGCTCAAGTGCTTAAGCCTTGTGGACTGACTTGGCTTCTGGATGATCCTGGTCATCTACAAGGAGTGGCAGCAGAATCAC